TGTACCATAAAAGGGAATTTCATAGATATTTTCCATTCTTGACTAAGATTTGAGTCAATTTAATCTGATAATAAGATAGTCTTTTGTATTATTCATGTGTTTGTAGCAATACTATTAGTATATAATTTTTTTTCCTGGAAATAACTGAACAGCTGGGCCAACTGACCCAAATTCTTTGTAACATAGATGCATTTAACTTTAGGGAAATTCATAAAATATTAATATTCGAAAGGAATCAGTTGAAGATGAGTTCTTTGTATGTGTTTAAGGTATCTTTCATGAAACTCAAGTTGCTGTTATTCTGTGATTACGTCCAGAGCAATGGTGCCATCTGCTGTTACCAGCTTAGCATTGCTAGTAGAAGATTTTGGCATATGTTTGCAATCTGCAAATAAGTACAGACTAAAATTTTTGTCTTTTAAATGAAAGTTTACATTGGATCTTGTCATTTTTATTTAGTAATTTTAAATTTGTATACCAGTTGATGATGTATTCAACTCTGTAAATGTTATAACATGAAATTGATTGCCAAATAGAACTTTAGTAGGAGAGCCTAATTTATAATACTATAACCTCAACAGTAACTAATAAAACATTTTAATTTTTAACATTAATTTATTTTCAGTGTAGTGAATTAGTATAGATTTTTGTGACCTCTAATGATATGGCTTTCTGATTCCATTATTTTTTATTTTACATCTCTTCTACTGACATGTGACAAACATGTGGAGGTCATTTTATTCATCAATAATGTGATTATAAAAATCAGTAAGTGCTAATGGATATTTTTCCTTCATATTTACCATTATGTTTTAAAGCATCATATAATTTTGATTCTCCCAATAACAATGTATTTGTCTTTATTTTTATCTCATGGTTGATGATTACAAGACATTTTGTAGGATAAGTATTTATGAAGAGCTAGCTTTAAGTCACATTTCTGCCAATCTTAAAATTGGTACAGGATTTTTAAAGAAATTGACAAGTGTAACATAAGAAATAGAATTTAAAGCAATGCAATATACATTATTGATGTGTTTTCTTCTAAAATGACAGGATTATACTTGAGACATACATTTGTGGGCATTGGTATTAGAACTTTGAGTACAAAGCAGTTTAATATATTTTTATGTATACTGTTTTCAGACAACACAGAGCTAAGCTATTAAAAGACTGAAAATATTAGGAATCTTTCAAATTTTAATTTCACTATCACTCCCTTACAGCAAGCAAAATGATTCCTACATTGAAAGATAAAAGCTATGTTAGTTTATTTTCATATTGTGAGTCAGGCACACTGGCTCTTTCTATGTGCCCTGTACTTTGTTAGTCCTGAGGTGATTTTTGAAGAAGCACAAAGATTATATTCTGCTTTCTCTAATCTTTTCTCTTCTTTCCTTTATAATTTCTGTAGTGCTGTTTTAATAAGCATACTGGCCCTTTAGCCGGCTTCTATGATAACATTTTTATTTGTATTAACTGGTTGTATTTCCAAATTTAAAGATACAAACACCAAAAGCTTTACACATCAGTACTGTTTGTGAGTTCACCTCTGACATTTAATACTAATGATGTGCTCTGCAAATCCAAATGAGAGAATATGTTATGGAAAAAACCCAAGAGATCCAATAGTTGATACATATGAGACATCATCCTGAAGTCAGAAATAATGTCTTTTGGTTGGGAATTTAGTGATGGTGAAAGAATCCTAGTGAAACTAATTAGAACCTGTACAAACAAATATTTTCATGTTAACATTAAAGTTGAATCACGTGGAATGTACCCATTATGACTTTTCTCTGCTGTATTACTATTACTATAATGTAATTAATTTAAAAGTTACCCACTGCTTCGAGATGTTTTAATATTGATTAATTAGCTGGACAAAAAATTCTCTCATTTCACATGCCCAGTACACTGCGTAACTAAAACCTAGATAAGCTTTTATTTGAAAGCACATGGAGCTATTTGCTTTTCTATGGCATTCTGATAGTACTTATGTAGGAAAATACACTTTTCCAAAGATGGGAATATTAGCTCTGGCAGCTGCTACTTCCAAGCATTCCATGCACTATTTCTGACATGAGAAAAGACTAGTTACAGCTGTCAGGGGCACATCTTCAAATGAGCTGTATTTCCCATAAATAAACTGAAGCTTGCACAAGACTATATAAATATAATTTATGGTTGGCCAAAAGTTGAGACAAGTATTTTAAAGAAATGTTCATTTTTATTGAACTTATGAAATCAAATTTCTTTTCATACTCTTTATAATTATGTCTATAGCACCATTCAAGTTTTTCAGCTTAGAGCTGCCAGGATATAAAAATTACTTTGGTGCAAATAATTCCACTTTCTTGTCAAACCAGTGATTATAGTTGTTTCTTTAAAAAGTAAATCCAGTCATTACCCATGAAATCCAAATTTCAGAAGTTTTAGGTGTCTTAGCTGAGTATAGAATGGCTCCTAATTCAACTATGTATTTGTATCACTTTTCAGCAACAGTTTAAGCAGCGAGAGTATGCACCACATACAGTTTTTCTGCTCAGTTAATATGTATGTAAAGAAGAAAATGCAAAAAAATGAAATGACACATGTATATAACTGTTTATTAAGCAAAAGCAAAACAACCATGAGTAGGCATTGGAAGAAAAATTATAAAAGATTACTGTGCAGTTGTAAAATAGGAGGAAGTCTCTAAACTGCTGTGGAGTTAAGAGTGAAGACATTAAGTGAAAAAATGCAATATACATAAGAATGTATAGTATGCTATGTATAATAAGCAAGAAAAGAATATATTCTTATATTTCCCAAAGTAAACATTGAAAAGATAAACCCAAACCTAATAAAAATGGTTACTTGTGAACTAGAGAAAGGAGTAGAGGCATGGGATAGGAAGGGAAACCTAGATACCTCTGAATGATGATGTTTTAAATTTTTACCTTAAATCACAAAGCAAGACCTGATAATCAAAAACTAAAATAAATAAACCTGACCATACAAGTTGATAGTATGATCACTTAGAGAATAATTTCAAGTCATGTTAAGAGCATAGTGTTTTGACAGTTTATTAGCAGAGTAAATCCTAAGGTCTAAAAGACTGCTAAGAAATTTTAAACTGCATTAATATACCTTGTTATAATGGCTGTCTTGTTATTTTGAAACTAATACATATTAAGAAAAACAAATGAATACTTTTGATTATTAAGGCCTAAGACTTACAGGAAAAAATACTTAAATATAAAATGAAAAGATTTCAACCAAAAATTCTATAATCTTTAATTTGGTTGATATTATCAGCATGAACTCACATTAATTTTTCTCTTTTACAAATATGTATTTCCCATCCCACTGAAAAGACTGTGAAGCAGTGATAACTTAGTGACTGTGGACATCCCTAGTGCTTGGATTATTGTATCTAAATATCATTCCTCACTAGAAGAAGTCCAGGCCTTTTTTTTTTTCCAGGCTTTTTGAAGAAATGACAAATTTTATATCTGGGACAGGAACTACACAAGACAATTATAGTACATGTTGTCATGCCTTAACTATGGGGGATTGACTAGCTAATTTGAAGAGGCTTCTACTGCTCAAAGTTGAAACAATTTAAGGATCAACGGAGGAAAATAATTACCATAGATTGAAATATATTAAATAATGTACATAAGTATTCTGAATTCATAATGGTCATTTTTGGTCACCTTTGAACCAAAATGAATAAGGAGGAAAAATTAAACATTTTTATGACTTTTCTATACAAGCTATATTTATTTCATAGTCACTAAATAATCAATGAGCTTTAAGTTCTTCATTATAGAAAATCAGAGCTAATAAATGTGGAAAGAAATAATAAGGTTAGAAAATTACTACCCGACAGCCTCTAATGAGACAATTAATGTAAAAAACAGTAAATCATGTACCAGAATTATTGTGTGAAAGACTGGTGACAAACTTTATAATGGGAGGGTCAAGCTAACATCACCTTCGACCCACTGATCAATCTGAACATCACTAAAATAGGGGGAGGCGCATAGTGATACGATGCAAGAGGAATTACATAGCAGTACTTGTGATATATTTTTGATCAAAAGAAATTGAACCTCAGTGTAATCAGGCCTTAAGGTCTAATTACTCATCTACACAAAATATGGATAATTTAGGAACGTATTAAATGAAACACCATGAGGATAAAATCACTCAGATCCAGAATGTAAAAATTTTATGGAAAAAAGGATCCAGTTTCTTCAATAAATAAATGGCTATGAAAAGGAAGGATAATGGACTATAAATGCTGAAAAGAGATTTAAGGTACCTATCAACCAAGTAGAATGTATGATCCTTGTTTGTATATGTTTCAAACAAGGGAACTGTAAGTTTTTTTAACATAATTAATGAAAATTAATCATGGATTATGTAGGTGATACTAGAAAATTATTGATCATATTTGTAGGTATGAAATTGTATTATGTGTTGCTGTTGTTATTTTAAGTCCTTGTTTGCCAGAGATGCCTACTAAAACATTCAGGCATAATGTCATATGCTATCTGAGATTTACTGTTAATTACTGTAGGTTCCCATCAGAAAACATCTTGAGGGGGGGATGAATAGATTAAATGAGAGTAACAGAAAGATATTGATTTTAGAAATTGAATGGTGGGTACAGAATGATTCATTGTGCTCTTATCTCTTTTATATATATTTCCATAATAAAATGTTAAAAATTTTTAAAAGCCCTCCTTCCGTATTGCTGAGATCATAATTAGCAGTGCCTGCTCAGCAATATTTTAGGTTTTAAGTGAGATGCTTAGTTCCTGTGAGTGCTGTATTTTTGGGTCTCAAAGGGAAGAAGTTTCTTCTTATAACTGAAATGTAATATCTTTTCATCCATTTAAATTTCATAAGTAGTAAAGAGTCTTCATAGAATAAAAGAACATTGCTTAGGTGTAGTGTTGTTAACAAGCTTATACCAAAATACACTGACATTATACCCTCTTTTTTAGACCAAGCCACCCTGGTAGAACAGGTGAAAAGAGTAAAAGAAATTGAAGCTATTGAAAGTGATTCTTTTGTTCAGCAGACATTCAGATCAAGTAAAGAAGTCAAAAAGGTACGTTTTCATACAGGCATTATGAATAAGCCTTTGGATTCCAACTGAAGAGATACATTATTAGTGCGTTTTAGTTAGATGTAAGTGCTTCTTCTAATAGATGAAGTAGGTTGAGAGAGTTTTATTGAGAAGAAGCAATCAGTGAGAATCAGTTCCACTTGTATAAAAATATAGTGTAAAAATGGATCTGATGCCATTTTTATTTTAATTTACCAAGACTAAGATCTCAACATGATGGTTCTGTTATAGTAGTATACATTTCCTAAATATATACAGATATCTTTTATATATAGATATCTATTTTTTGAATTGACATTTCTAGATGAAAGTTAGATAAAGGACTTTAAATAATAAAACTGTTACTCTAAGAGTAACATGTATTTCCATCCTTTGCTCAGATGTGTCTTAGTCAACCACAGTTAAAAGGAGTGTTGATATTTTATTTGTTGAATTTTTTTATATGTTCTTTCATTCATTAGTACAGTTCCTTTTACGAATATGTTTATGTTCCTTTAGTAGAAAAATGTCTAGGAAATACAGGTATTCTTTAATAACATTTCTAATTATAATTCCCACTTATTTTAAAATATACATTATAAATGTATTAATTATTATAAATATCCTAAGGATGAATGTAATAGTTCACTTACTTTCACTCTGATATTACAAATTTAAGTAGTTGTAAGTTTTGAGACACTACATATGTGTTTATAAATATCCGTTATTCTTAAAATAAATTTTCAAGATGGAGTTATTTGTTAAAGGTTATATTGTTTAACATAATTCCATATTTATCCTCAAAAAATATTACACCAACTCAAATGCCACTCAAAAGTGCAGGGAGATGACTTTTAGTCATCTCGTGGTTAACTCAAGGCCTGTCAGGCTTTTTTATATTTATTGACCTAACGAGTGAAAATTAATCTATTGTTTTCATTAGCACTCCTTTATTACTAGTGATAGGAAAGACTTTTAATTACCATTTTTAAAAAATAATTTATTCAGGAGACATGAAGTGAGTATGTGATACATGCCAAGCACATAATCCCTGGGTTGTCATCCTGTTGATTGCATTTAAAATTTTAGTAGTTTCCCATCATAATTCCTAAATCTTGGAGCTATGAATGGACATTCATAAATGTAGTTACCTATTTTATTTAATATCTTACTGTTGCATATTATAAGCACATTTATCTGTCCTAATAGAAGTACTGTAATTTATTTTAAAATTTGCTTTGCTAGTATTTGTTTCCTAAAGTTCACTGAGACTTTCTCACAGTCAGTTAGTACTTTCTTTCTGTGGAAATACTTGTTCTTTTATAGTTATTATGATAGGCTTTCTTCAAAACCACCTTTTCCCATATGGTATTATTAATGTTCTCTTTAACTTATTTTTAATTCAAACCTTTCCTTCAAGAAAGCGTGCGTTGAAAGATAAGAAATAGTTTCAACAGGAGAGTGTGGTAAAAAGGCTCAGGAGATGGCATTTACCTTGGTGAATGTACAGTAGTCTAAAGTCTTAATCCAACATTGAACTTTTGTTAATAAATACACTTTGAAATGATCAGATGAGCAGTGATAGGTTATCAATGAATAAATTCACACTTGACTGAAATATAATGAGGGACAATTTATTAGTTTAGAAAACGACATCCTTTTCTAGTCTCTGAAATGTCTGGGTCTGCAATATAAGTCAAGGATTCAAGATGCCCAAGAAGCTGAATTATTTATCAGGAGATTACTTAGCAAAGAGAAGTAAATTATCTTGAGGAGTATTTTATTCAGATCATAGGAGGATATGATGGGCTTCCCTAATACATAGCAAAAATTAACTTTCTTGAGGACTACATTACTATAGCCCAAGTTTAGTATCTTTCTCTTCTGGACAGTGCTACACACTGATTTAAAGTTTGTATCTCTAAGAAAGAATGTTCTATACCAACCACCCCTTCAGTTGGTACAGTCTTTCTTCAGCTATGTTAATTCCACTAATTAAACTAGGGAGCTATTACCAGGAGAAAATGGGTATTACCAATGACATGCTAGACACTGTGTCTCCTGAAACACATATTGATTTAACTAGTCGAACTCTCTGAAATCATATTTCTCTTGCCTGAGTGGATAGAGAATCTGATAGCTCCTGCCACTTCATTAACTTCAGGAGCCAAGATGAAGCTTGTTTTCAAACAGCTGTCCTAGATACACTTAGTATCAATTATTCACCCCTAATATTATTATTTCTGGGAGATAATCAGCCTGTGTTCAGTTGAAGAGTAAATAATCCCATGCAGTGTGGGCTTTTGTCCTTTTACTTGCAAGTGCATAATAAAACTAAATTTTCCAAACTGAACCACCAGATGGCAGTGTCACTAAAAGTCAGAAGTAGTAGTACCTATGTTGAGGTTTGTTTTATCATTAAGGCAAAATTTTCTCTTACACTATTCCTCACTTTATTTATTTATTTTTTTGGTACCGGGGATCAAACTCGGGTCCTTGCGCTTGCACAGCAGGCGGTGAAACCACTGAGCTAAATCCCTGGCCCTTTTTCCTCACTTTAAAAAGAAGCAATTAGTGATTATCTCTACTAATTTTTAAATCACTTATTATTACATAATAACTTCTATGCTCTCATCCTAACCTTTGAGAGCTTTACCTTATATGTTTATATGTACTTCTCAAAAAAAAATGTTAGTCTATCATATAGGTAAAAACAGAATGAGATTAATTGGTTTATATAATAGAATTTTATCTCTCTGACCTGAAGAAGTGGGATCCACATCTTGACGGCTAGAATAACAGCACTGCATATGTTTTTAAGGCAGTTGAACATGACCAGTTAGTCTTCTAGCTAAGCCCTATAGCATAACTGAGATATTTCCCAGTTAAGTACTATATAGTGTGGTTGAGATATATTCAATGACATGCTCCTACAGTCACTACAGAACAACAGGGATTACCAAAAATCAGTTTCCTGGGCCTCCATAGATTAATATACTTGCCACTTTTCCCCAGACAAAATATTGGGCTTTACTACTAAATATCCTATTTTTTATAGGGTCATTATATTACCTGGGGTCATGTACTTTGTAGGCCCAGTGTATTGGAGACATAAATATTTGGAAACCTGGAGTTGGGGGTGGTTGTTGGCTCTGAAATATAAAAAGAAATCTGCCAAATCAAATTCAATATTTCTTAAATGTTTATAAAAGCTAATATGGTAAAGGCTTCTATTACCTCATGCAAGAGCTTCCACAGGAAAGGTTGTTAATTGCTGATTTGGCAATTTCTGCCTGTGAATTCATGTTTGAAGAAACCAGGAACTATGTTAAGCAAAGAAAAGCTTTTGGGAAAATAATTGCACATGTACAGACTGTGCAGCATAAACTAGCAGCATTAAAAACACACATATGTATAACCAGAGCTTTTGCGGACAGCTGTCTACAGCTGCATGAAACAAAACATCTGGACTCTGCCTCTGCTTCCATGGTGAAATATTGGGCATCTGAGCTACAAAACAGTGTAGCCTATGATTGTGTACAGCTCCACAGAGGATGGGCATACATGTGGGAATACCCAATTGCAAAAGCTTATGTGGATGCCCGAGTTCAACCAATCTGTGGTGGTACCAATGAAATAATGAAGGAACTGATTGCAAGAGCTATCATCCGTGACCAGTAGGCATCTGCCCACATCCTGAAATCCTATTATAGCTAATCAGGTTTTAAATCTACTGAAGACAAAATCTAAACTGGAAAAGGAGGAATGTGGCACATGCTTTTTATGTGTTCTGGCTATAGAGAAAGAAATCAAATACAGATTAACACAGAGGAAGAGAAATTTTTGAATCCAAAATATCAAATTTTCTCATAAAAAGTTTAATTTTTAATTTTTTTATGTAGAAGTCAAAGATTTTTTTAACCCTAGAAACCTTAGTATTTCATTTATCTCTAAAATTCTAGAAAGTATTAATTATATAAATCCTTAGAATTGAAGCAGAACTAATTTTATATTGTCATGCCATAAAAACATTAATAACATTGACCATGCACTTGTAAAGGGGAAAATAAATAGAATTTAGAATTTAAAGACACTCAGCTATGTATGTTTTGCTCCAAATTCCCTAGAACACTGTTAATACCATGCTACACCAACCCCCTATTTTTATGTAATGCATGGAACCTATTCCTCAAACAAAACATCACATTGTACTCTATCAACATATGGTTATTATATATCAATTAAAAATAAAACTTCTTTTAAAAAAAGCTAATATGCTTAAAATTAACGTTATTGAATGGTACATTTAGTATTTGTAACACCTCCACCTTTGAAAACAATTTGTAGAGTAGATTTCTCTTACTTTTCAAGCATTCCTAAACATACTTGGTGATTGCTCAGAGGTCTACTACTCAGGGTCCTTTTGTCTACAAGAGTATGAATCTATCTTGTGGATACAGACCCACTTCCATTAGCATAAAAATGAAAAATGACTGATCATAATTCAGTAAGATACATGCTAAAAACAAGGAATGGATCTTGACCTCAGAAGTTAGATTTCTGCTACCAGTCATTACAGAATAAATGGTATCAAACTTTCCCTCTACCATAAACAATTATAGAAGTTGACAAGATGTATGAAGTTATTATTATTTTCAAGTATTAAACAGGCAACAGTCTTAAGAGAAGGGAAACAGAAGATGAGCCCCACAATTCCCCAACTTTCTGCCTGGTATCATTTTCCTGCTGCGGTGCTGAGCGGTGATACCCATGCAGAGTGGTGGTGTAGCTGAGATTGGGAAGCAGTGACCCAAATTCTGGGATGGGGTGTTCAAGTGTCCCTTTTACTCACTGTTTGCAAGCTACTGTGGCCTCCTTTCTGATCTTTTCTTTTCGGGCTCTTTGTACTCACTGGTCTGTCTGGCCAAAACACTCTCTTTTTCTTCATGTGCCTTGCTCTTTTTCATTCTTCAGGTCTTAAATTGTACCTCTTGATGATGTTTCTAATCACCCACTCTATAGTAAATCCCTCTCCCCAATTCCCATCATACTCTATATTAGCACCTTATTTATTCCTTGATAGCATATACTACAATTGATGATTATATGTTTGTTTTGCTATGTATTTGTTTATAATCTGTCAATTTCATGAGCAACCTATAATCTTCAGTTGGTTCAGAGACCATATCAACTTTATTCTCCTTGTGGACCCAGTGCTGAGCAATTAGGAGTGCTTAATAGTACTGGTTAAATAGATGCACATTTATTTCTAAAATAAATTAAGAAAGGACTAATTATGCATATATCATTATCTAGACATTTTTCCCAGTGACAGCTGTTTTATGCTTCAAAGAAGTGAATGTTCTGAAGTAGATAAGTTAAAAAAAATGGAAATTAAAAAAAAATAGGTATAGGACAAGGCTACAGAGTGCAGTTAATTCCCATTTGTCTTTTTAAAATTATACTTCAGTTTTGTATTTCAGATTCTTATCTAATCCATCTCATTCCTTCAACCTTGCTTGAATCAATTTCCTGGCCACCTCCATTTTCAGGGAAGATATCCAAACTTACCTAAATAAGCACTACACTGTTGGCTTCTTCAATGCAGCAACAAATGATTAATAAATCTTTGTGTCCCCAGCATATAGCACACTGCATGGCACAAGGTGAATAAATGTGGAATTAATTGAGTGCCTACAGTTTGCAAGCAGGTATAAGAAATTCTCGTTTTATTTCTTACCAGGAAATGTCACAATTTTTTTCCAATCTTTTATTTTTAAATGTCTTCCATAACCTTAAAAAAAAAAACCTTTGAGTACATCAACTGATGAATGGATAAATAAAATGTGGTAGATACATACAATGGAATACTAATGAACAGTAAAAAGAAATGAAGTACTGATACATGCTACAACATGGATGAGTTTCAAAGCATTATGCTAAGTGAAATAACCAGTCTCATATATTATGTGAAATATCCAGAATAGACAAATCCATAGAGAAAATAGACTCGTTGGTTCCCTAGGAATGAAGTTGGCAGGAGTGAGAAGTGACTACTAATGAGTATGGAGGTTTTTTGAGGGGAATGATAAAAATATCCTGAGGTTGACTATGATAATAGTTGCACAATTCTATGGATATGCTAAAAGCCATTGAATTATGTACTTTAGATTGGTGAATTATATAATTAAATAAGTTTACATATTTTTAAAGATTATCTCTTAATTTACTTTTCATATCCAGGGAGGAAAACAATATTGGAGATTTGTTGAGATTTTTGCAAGCTTATTTTATTTGAATTTAAACATAGTATATGTGTACAGTGTATTTCAATGACAGACTCATAAATACTGATTTCTTAAAAGTAAGCTGATCATAAGAAATAATAAACATTTCCTCAACATCTTTGTGTTTGCTTTTTTATTTGTTTAAAGCATAATTTTAAAGAATAATGTATCTCATTCAGAAATGTAGGGCTTTTTTGAGATGGATATCATATCAGAAGAAACTAATTGACCAATCATTATTCAGCATCAGAAATATTATTAAAGTGGATTATGTTTAAATTATTATGTGTTGAATCTTTCAGTCAGTGGAAACTAATGAAGTGAAACATACAACTTCAGTATCAGGACCAGCATCTGTAGTTGCTGATCCACCCAGTGTGGAAAAAGAAATAGACCCTAGCAGCATCCCTACTGCTATCAAGTACCAAGATGACAATTCTCTGGCTCATCCAAATGTAAGATCTTTAAACATTATGAGTGTCAACTGAAGTCTTGTTAACTGAAATTAATTTAAATCATTATCCTTTGGTTCTGGCACCAAGAAGGCCATGGGAGGAAATGGGTTCATGTATTCTCATTTGCTAATAATGGGCAACTAACCTACAGACCTTCCAACTTATTACATATTTTTGAATCTGGTATACCTAATTCATGCTGCCTGACTTTTGGTAGTATCCTGTGTTTTAAAAAAATAAGCAAAAAGTTTTGTGGTTTGTTTTTTTTTTAATCTGACATGAGAGTTCTAATTCTGGCTTAGCTACAGTTTGACTATAAGAATGTCACTAATATCATATTTTGCCATCTTAAGAAATAGTTCGATTCCATTTTGTCTCTCAGAAGGTCTGTAGGAACTGAATTCACAAACAGGATGAAAATTGTTAACCAGTGGTATTGATGTTAGTCCTTTTAATTTAAGACTTTTTGTGCATTTCTAATTCTCAGCAGATGGACTTTAAGTAGTCATCAAGAGTTAAATAATATATGAATCTTGTGCTGAGAAACATATTCCATAAAGGTGATTTGTATTATATTAAGTCAAATCCAAGTTATTGGTAAATAATAATATTTTTCTTTTCCTTTTTTATTTCAGTTGTTTATTGAAAAAGCTGAAGCTGAGGAAAAGTGGTTCAAGAGATTAATTGCTCTCCGACAAGAGAGATTAATGGGCAGTCCTGTGGCCTAAGTAATAATACACTGATGGTTAAAGCAACAGTAACTTTGAAAATTTAGGTTTTTGAATCCCAATATTAACTTTTAGTCTTAAAAAGAACTTAGCTTATTATATAAAAATGTAATATCATTTCATCCTTCTGTCATGTAGGCTTGAATATTCATTGATTTGAACTGAATCAAACATTGTGAATAGCAAAACTAGAATAAAATTTTAAAATGCATGAAAATGTACCGTTAATAATTTCTAAAAATATCCTATTCCTAAAAATATCAATGTAAAAATAAATGGCACTCAGTAGTGTTTTATAGTACAATTTGAAAGTCAAGTTATCATTTAAAGACTCAATATTGCTTAGTTATACATATATAAGAATCGAATTACATGCTATAAATATGAGATTTCATCTACTTTGGATTATGAAACCCCTGTTGAATCTTTTATCTCACCTTATTAAAAAAATTTAGGCACAATAGAAAGCACCCTAAACAGCCTAAACAAAATGAGCATGGTAAAATGAAAGGAATAACACATCCCAATTTCTTTTTTATTTTCATCCCTTAAGGATTGTAAACATTATGTATTACAAACATGTACAAAAAAAATAAGGAAGGGGATCAAGAGATGGGTGGAGAGGGTAGTAAGGGAAGGAAAGGGGATGAAAAAAGGAATTGAGATGAGTTAGGTACGTGTGCCAGCTCCCCACAAGGAAGGTAAACATTATGTACTGCATGTTCTAATAAACTAAAATTTAAAAGATACAAAAAGGGAATATTGGCTTAAAATTTTTCTTGAAAATTAAATAAACTAATGGCCTTTGCTTAGAGATCAGCTTCTACTAGGTGCTGCTTTGAAACTTACAAGCAGACCCTAGCTCATTCCAATAAAATTCACTTGCTTGTAGTAGACCTAACCAGTTGGCCAGCTATGATGGGGAAATTATTACTGAGGAAACTGGTAAAAGTTCTCGCTTCATTCTTACTTAATCATCTGCTATTTTCTGCAGAGGAAGCCTACTAAGTATTGTTTTGATAAGGCTGTCATTGTAGAATGCCTTTCTCTAGTGGCTGAATGATAACCAACTACAAATTCCATACTGAATATGCCAGAGATAAGAACTTTGAGGCCTTGCTTTACAAAACTGATTTTTAATTGTTGAAATGAATATTTCCCTGTTCTACTTTTTTGTCTTATCCAGTGTCCAGTGTAGTCTCTATGAAGACTATAGCTGAGAACATAGGGTAAACATGAAAGGACCTTGGGATAGGGTAACCAACATATGGGATGTTTTAATACAATCATTTTTATATTTCTGGAACTACAAAGTTCTTTTCTTTGTTATGGATTTGGAGCTAATTTTTTTTAATTGGTACTTTTTAGATATACATAATGATCACATTCATTGTAGGGAATATGTACCTGTACTGATATATCTTGATTCCTCTTTTTTTCCAGTCCCCTCCCTCCTTTAAACCACTTTTCCCCCCCTTTTCCCAAAAGCTTTGTTTCCATTTTTGCCTTCTATTCTTTTTTTTCTTCCCCTTCCTTCCTTTCCCCCCTCAGCCTTCCCCCATTCCCCTTCTCATTTGAATATATTCTTCCCATTTCCCTATGTCTATTATACATTTTAGTCCCTATTTACACTTTCAGCTTCTCACACAGAGAAACAATGCAATATTTAAACATATTGAGTCTGATTTATTTTACTTAAGACTATGGTCTCTAGGTGCATCCACTCATCTAAAGATGTCTCAAGTTTATCCTTCTTTATGGCAAAGTAGTACTCCATTATATAAAAAACCCCACATCTTCTTTATCCATTCATCCATTGATAGACATTTGGGCTGTTTCCAAGATTTAGCTATTACAAATTGTGCTGCTGTAAACATGGGCATGCATATATTTCTGTGGTATGATGCTTTTAATTCTTTCAGGAAGATACCAGGAAGGGGAATAGTTGGGTCAAATGGAACCTCTAGTTTTAGTTTTTTGAAGAATCTCCACACTGATTTCCACCATGGTTGCATCAGTCTACTCTCCCACCAACAGTGAAGAAGGGTTCCTTCTTCCCCACAGCCCACCAGTATTTATTATTGGTTGATTTCTTGATAATAGCCATTCTTTCTGGGGTGAGGTGGAATCTCAGTGTTGTTTTAATTTCCATCCCTCGAATGACCAGTAATGTTAAATATTTTTTCATATATTTATTTGCCATTTCTACTTCTTCATCTGAGAAGTGTGTATTCATTTCACATGCCCATTTTTGTATTGGAACTACAAAATTCTAATCTCTATTGAAAATGAAAACTATAAAGACCTTACACTGAATTACAAGTAGTATGGAAAATAGTCTAACAATGAAATACTTGTTTTCATGCACACTTTTTTATTTTAAATAGAAGATATGGTTCTATTTTCCTTAGCTATAAATAAAAGTGCTCAATATGAAGTCAGATTTGTGTAGTTTTTATTATAGATACATAAATTTTAATGACTTCAGAAATTCATTAAAGTTTCTGAAATATTTCATATTTTATTCTTTGTATAACTTATAAACTATAAAAATACTATCACTGTTTTGGGAAGTACCTTTTAGTAGTCTGGGTGAGAATGTGCATTATCATTTGGGTCACTAGTAAGAATCTGGACTAGACAGTTTTCTCAATATGCTCAACGTTCCTTATCTGTAAAATAGTGAAAATATTATGAACTACTTTAGTTAGGCTTAACACCAGTGTTCCCCTGGTATGTACCCCAAATACAGAAACTTAAACTGCAATAGATTGGTATTTTAAAGTTAAATTTTTCATGGGCCAGGGATTTAACTCAGTGGTTTCACCACCTGCTGCGCAAGCAAAAGAACCCAAGTTCGATCCCCGGTACCAAAAAAAAAAAAAAAAAATAGTTAAATTTTTCATGTAGAATAGAAAATAAGGTTTGTTTGGTTTTTATGTTTTGTTTTTTTAATGCACTAAACTTAGCCCAGCAGGAATTCAAAAACTATTTCCCTCCTTCATCTTTTTGGTATATTATTAACTTTGTTTACCTGCATTTCTGTCTAAAACCACAATATGACCACGCAAGCCAAATCAAACTTAATGAGAGAGACTTCATAGAATATTATCAAACATATTTCCAAATACAAGCCAGATATTACATCCTGGTCTTCTTTAATATCCTGATATAATGAGCCTATAAAGCATAACAATCCTTTTCATGACATTTGATTAATAATAACAATTTGTACTTACAAGAGACCTAATGTCTTTTAAAACAGTGATTTCTTACAAAATGATGGGTTCAAGTTGAGTATTTATTTCTGAATATTGAGTGCATTCTCATGGGAACTGAAACAGCAATGTTTTGGCACTCCCTAGTTATGAGGAGGCAGAATCTTAAAAATAAGAAGACGGACACTTTGAATCATTCACCTACTTGGCTTCAGCATCCTAGCATATGAAATGAGGTTACTAATAGCAGACTTGCCTACTTTGATTTTTCACTAAAGTGACATAAAGAAGTTCATAGAAAGGAATGTTTTGATACGGTAGATATTTTAATGTAGTACAAATACCTGCATGGGTAATGATCTGAAAAATTACCCTCCAACTTCAGTGTACTTCTTATATGTTTTCTTGAACTGCTATGGTCAGTGGTCCTCATCCTAGCTTTTTCCTCAGCCTTCCCTAATCTACCTCCCTGGAAAGACCATAAGAAACCCTGCTTGTTCTGCACTTACCTTATACTTATTTGAGGAACCTCAGGCCTTTATAGTTGGACTTAACCACTTTTTCATTAACATTGTTTTAAGCATCTAGTTTATGCTGTGTACAGTATAGAATATTTGGGAGATACAGGTGAGTCTCTTTAACAGACTTAATATGAAGTCCAGACATGTAGATAATATAAGACATATGGTACTTAGTGGTAGAAGAGGGGAATTTTTTGTGAAGAAGAAAGAAAGTCCCTGAGTTTAAAAATTAAAGAAGGCTTCATGAAAAAGATCACAGTTGAACTAACTCTCACCAGATAGGAAGGCTAGAGCCATAGGAACTCAGTCACCTGCTTGGATCTTCCTGATAGCTCTTCTGAAAGGCTGAAAACTGCCACACTTCTAACCTTAAAGAAACAGTTTCTCTTACAAAAGATTTAAGTATCCCTCCTCTCTCAATCTTATCAAAAGTCCTGACAAAATTTCAGGTTCCTGGTCATGCTCTGACAATTTCTTCCTGTTGGTAGAGAATTGGCTGAATAAGACAACTCCTAATGTAGCCACTAGCATCAACAACCTTTCATACTGCTTCTTGTCAACCAAGACAACACAAGCTTCTGCAGTGATAGCTGAAGAGGGAATTTCAGTTCCACCAGGGAAGAACTGTATGTGCCATTAAGGGTTGCACAGCCATGTGAATCTGTGTGAGCTCCCTGATACTCTGTTTTTGTATTCTCTACTATCATAGAAAACATCATTTTGGAACTAAAGGAAGATTCATTTTGCTTGTGACTGAGTCTCTCCCAAAATTTCCCTTTGGTTTGGGCATCAGTGAAGATCTTCTAAGTGAGCAGATAAAATAGTACCAAAAGCTAGAAATGAAATAAATAGGATATTTAGGTACAAAACTCTGGATGAGTTGATATGAAATGCTTGTACCCATGTTACTTTTTCCTTTCTTCCTTCCCTTATCCCAAAATTCCTTATATTACAAAAGAGATTTTAAGCCACCTCTTGTTCATTACTCGATTGATACAATGCTTAGATTCTTTACTGTAGTCAGTTTTTTAATGACATCCTATAGGCTTTACTCTTTGGAACTCTTTTATGGAAAAATGGAAACAGAGGCCCTCTTGATAAGAAAACATCTGAGCTTTTACAGCAGAGCAAGAATAAAAATGGAGATAAGAATACTTTGTGAATTCTATGATCACCTTAATCTTTTATAATAGGAATTGACATTGATCAGTATATTAAGCTGTATTTGTTTTTCCCCCTAAATCAAAGCAAATGCCCTGATATATTTCCAAGTTATTTTAGCTGCCATTGTAGCCCCAGAATTTGCCCCAATGCTTGACACAGAGAAGGCCTCAAGAAGTATTTTTTAATGAAGGAATAAATAATCTGCCCATATAAATGGGAATCTGTTTAGCAGTCTAGTTACTTACATTGCTCAAATAGGACTAGGAATGTAGCTCAGTGGTAGAGTGCTTGTCCTGTATGTTTAGGAC